ATAATCCATGACTTCTGGTAAACCAAACAAAATACACATTAAATTTGTTCAACATTTGTTGGCTGTTGTGAAATTTTGAAATGCTCTGTATGAGTCAACTGCTGCTCAGTTGCTCTTTCACCGTAATTAATTAATCTAATTAATGTGTTAAATTACCAGCCCTAATATATATATATATATATAAACGCACACACATTATATCTTGATGCATTTTTTAATTAAAATCAACATTTTAAAATATTTTTACAATTTAAAATAAGTTAAATTCACTACAAAAACTCTACTATGTTATATAAATAATGCAAAATGTACATAATATATCATTTGAAAAACTTTTTCAGTAATATGTTTAGCATTACAGAGGTTGTAATGAAAATAGGCTTTATTTTCCCAGCATCAAGTCAGCATGAATTGAAAATTCACCCTGTCTATTTTCTAAAAGCATATTATTGATCTTATTGGGAATGAATCCATCAATGCATGTCTTTATTTGTTTATTTTTCATTTTGACCTTTTACGTTTTCAAATGTATGAAAACTTTTCCAGACTTCTCCAATGAAACAACAATACAGAAGAAAAGATCTGGCACTACTTCTGATTCATCACGACTTTAAGAAAAAAAATTTTTTCCTTCAATTTAGGTGGTAGGATATTGTATATATGTTGTGGTATCAACCAACAGATTATGCTTTTAGTACAGTCAGTTAATAATAATAATAATAATGACGGATAATTCACTGTAACTGTGGAGGAGAACTGTTTGTTTAATCATATAATCCATGACTTCTGGTAAACCAAACAAAATACACATTAAATTTGTTCAACATTTGTTGGCTGTTGTGAAATTTTGAAATGCTCTGTATGAGTCAACTGCTGCTCAGTTGCTCTTTGTACCTCATCTTGACCTCTGCACTAACGCTGGTAGATTACACTACTAGTGCTATTGAACACAGTTAATGCTGGCTCATGTTGCCCCCTTCACATTCGTTTGCTTGCATTTCTATTTTATGACCTGCCAATGATGAGGTTATGTGGTCTGAACATCATAACGATCAGTAATGATTGACCAAATCCTTGTCCTTTATCCAAGCACTCAGTTCATTGATACCATCACTTATTTAGTAATGATTAAGACTTATAACAGGGTAATATAATATTAGCATTTGAAATGGCTGTGCAAATATTTAACACTCGGGCACAACGCTCAATTTCATGATCTCTCTCACACCCCTCTCTTTTTGATTTCTTACTGTCTGTTGTTTATCTTTATGGGAACAAGCAGTCTCCAGCCTGTTTTCATCCAACTGGCCTTTGACTTCATCCTTAAAGAAATTAATTGTTGCATAAGTTTTGGTGTTCACAAAAGACATAAAAATACTGATACACACTGTAAAAAATGACCGTGAATTTAACGGTAAAAGACTGTAAAAATGCTACAGTAAAAACCTGTTAAATGGTTAACGGTAAATTACCCTACTATATACGGTGAAAAACTGTATTGGACATTACATGTATTGGACATTAATTTTACGGTAGTATATTATTTTTGGAAGTGAAAAAGGCTGCATAATTTACAGTGAATAACCGTAAATTGACATTACCAGAATTCCCTGCGTTACATTTCAAATTTGATGTTTTTTTGTTGAAATAACTATGTTTCTTCTTAGTTTTTTCTTATCAGTTTTGTATATTAGGCTTGTGTGTTACACCTAATGTTGTTAAATGAATGTTTATTGCATTATTGCAGTTTCATGTGTGTTACCATGATGGTGTTTGTGTGAATGACACTGTGCACCTTCTATATATGTTAATATTTAAAAACTGCTTGTGATGGGCTTTGGTTCATCATGTGACTTTCTCATCACCACCTGCATTTGGTGGTTATCAGTGTATTACAAAGGTACAAAACCGATTTCAGTACTTCAATAGGTTAGTATATTAACATTATATCAGTTATTGAAATTACGGTATTTAACTGTAAATTTAAGTTAAAACCTAAAATGTTGCTACCGTATTTTTTACAGTAAAATTCCGGCAACCACAGCTGCCGGTTTTTTACCTTAAATTTTACGGAATTTTTTTTTACAGTGCAGTAAAAATTTGTTTTGGAATAGAAGTCAGATTTTATGCACCCTTGAACATTTTACCAAGAAACAGCATTTTGATTGGAGCAACATAGTACACGTGTAATTCTGTCGTGCCACTTTTTTTTTTTTTTTTATCCAAGTCCTTTTTCTTGAAAAATAGTTTTTATATCTTGCAATTCCGACTTCTTTCTGTGTTATAAAGTCCAATTCCGAGGAAAAAATACTATTTTCATACAGTTGCGAGTTTATATCGCACAATTGCATGTTATAAAGTGCTGTCTTGCAAGTCTGAGAAAAACAGTTCTGACTTTTTTCTGTTTGTAATTTAGATTGTGGTATGGAAGCCTGTTTGTGCCACTGAATGAAAAATAAAAAAAAGGTAATTGAGATTTTTTTTTACCTTACAATTCTCACAAAACGTTTTTTATTGCAAGCTTATATTACTCTAGTCTGAGAAAAAATTTGTGAGGACTCGCAATTGCAAGAAAAAAAGTCACAATTATCTTTTTTTTTATTTTTCATTCAGTGGCAGAAAGGGGCTTCCATACTACATAATTACCTTACTTCCATTTGTGTTATTAAAATGATAATTTCATGGCTATTGTTCTAAAAGGTGGGAAGTAGTAACAATACAGAAGTAGCAGTTTGTCCAAACTTTTGACTGGAGCTATATAGTGAGTGGATGAAGAGAGGAGGTATTTTCAGGGTTTTGTGGGTGGGGCTAAAACCTTGTGATTGGATTAATGGCAGAAGAGGGAAATGAAAAGCAGATGAGAGGTCACAAGAGAAGTCAGTGCAGTACGACGAGCCTCACACTATATTCCTAACGCTGTTCCTGAACACTATCGCTACCGTGCTGCACATTACTCGCTATCTGCACCTGCTTGCCAAGAGATACTGTGAGAAGAAAAGCCTGACAGGAAATACTTTTTTGTAGTGCCAAACAGAAAAAAAAACTCCCTTAAGAAACCAAGGAAGCCAACTGAGAGAGGTGACAGAGTTTGCTTGGGTGAGTTGTTTCTGGGGAAATTCTTCATTGGATTAATTTTTTTTTTTGTATTGTGTTCGACAGTCTGATTTGTTTGTATCAGATTGTTTAATGGCAGAAACAAGTGAATGCAACATTTAACAAACATTTAGTCATTTTTACAAGCCAGCCATGGTATCTCAAGTGTTAATGCCTTGGTACAAAATAATTACTGGATAATATAATATAGTATTTACATGGTGATTTAAAGAATACTGAGATACATGTCCAAAAAACTTTTTGTGACCATTTAACTAGGAATCTGAAGATTATATTGTTTTTGTACATAAAAACGTATAACTTTTAAGTAGTGTGCACTGTGCAGACGTGTAAGTTATAAGAGAGCGGTCACATGATGCGCTTTACTTCTCGACAACAGTGCACATTGTCTGGACTGTGTATGAAGACAGGATACAAGCAGACATTTATTTTCTGAGTGTACTTTCTGACTTGATTTTCCCCTTCTTTCACTGTTCCCCAGTTGACCTGAATCTGAGCTAATTATGAGGAAACGTTTCATTCCACGCTTGTAAAACAGTAGGCAAGTGTCTGCTGCTTAGTCAAACCACAAAATGCTGACTACTGGTTAGTACAGATAAAAGATAAAGATAATCACATTCATTAGTCTGGTGTGTGTCGCATACAGTCATCTCTGATGTGGTTTATCCCCGAGGCTGTCCCAGACCTTTAGAAAAGCATGTTTGCAGCTTGATTGGGAAAGTAATTGTTTTATAGAGGGAACTATTTGATTATCTGGACGATGTTGTCGAGGTGAATAGCCTGGGGTTGTCGGAGCATTCGATTAGTGAAGGTCTCTTGTGTCTGTTTTTGCTTTGTCCGAATTTGAACTGAAAATAACCAGTGGCTTCATTTAATACTCCGAGACCTTGAGAAGTATCTGGTTACTTAAATACAAATGATCAAATCAAGTGACATTTTTATTCTACTCAAATATAAGCACAAATAAAATATTGTTATTAAAATGCTTTATATTACAAAAAACGAAAAAACAATTCATGTGAATGCATACTTTCCAGAAAACAACATATTATGACACTCTCATGATTGATAGTTAATGTGATGAACTACACCGGTGGTTACTCTGCTAGAGAACTGACTTTTAAAGGGTTAGTTCACCCAAAATTGAAAATCCCTGTCCTTCCAAACCTGTATGAATTACTTTCTTCTGTGGAACATAAAAGATTTATTTTTTTAATATATCAAAAATAACATATGAAAGATATTTTTGTGTCCATACATTGCAAGTCAGTGACCTCCAATATTCAGTTCCCAACAATCAAATTATCTTTTTTTTGTGTGTGTGTTTTTCAAATGTCATACAGGTTTAGAAACGACACGATGACATTATAATTTTTTTTTTTTTTTTGAGTGAATTATCCACTTCAAAGTCATTCACACTGGCAGCAATTTGCGGTGACGAAACAATAACATTATCCACTCATATTAAATTAATTTCAAGGCAACCTTTCATGCAAATGAGCATTGACTTGATGCACTGACTGCCAATGCGAGTGTAAAGCAGCATTGCCTTCCTCCAGTGAATCACTTTCAGTGTTAACCTAACTTTACAGGGGACCTGAAATTCAATATTGAACAAAGCATAATGTCATAAGATCCATTTAAGGGCACACTGTAAAAAATAAGTGTAATTTTAACTGCAATTTACTGGTTTACATTCATATTTTCTTGTTTGTAAATTACAGTTTTATACTGTAATTTACTTTTTGGCCGTAAATGTGTTTACAGTTTTTCTGTATTTTTTACTAAATTATTCTGCCAACCACAGCTGCCAAAATTATTTTGTAAAAAATAGATTTTTTTTTACAGTGCAAGTGTACTGGTTGCACAGGTTTTACTAGATTGTTCTAGTTTTGATAAGCTGATGCATCTGAATTATGAGAACAATGCAGAATTTTTTTGCTACCAGGAAGCCCCGGTTACACTGGGGTAATAAGTTAAAGCAGGTGACAATGTGAGTTTTCCTGGGTTTTAACCTCTCTTCATCCTCATCTCTAGAAATGGCAGGCGCGTGCATTGGTGTGTTCTTGCTGGCTGTGTTCTACGAGGGTCTGAAGATCGGCCGTGAGTTCCTATTGAGAAGGAATCAGGTGAACGTGCGTTACAACTCCATGCCTGTCCCAGGAGCTGATGGCACCGTGCTCATGGAGACACATAAAACAGTCGGGTCAGTGAATGGCGTACTCGTGTTTTCAGGATGCAATGCAAAAAAATTAAAACGACCCGGTTTTCTTGGTGAACCTTCGTGGTCTTCTTGTGAATGATTCATCAGTACACAAGAATGTTTTTGTAATCTTTCATCAGCTTGAAGGAACTTTTCCTATCAGCAATTATCAGGCCGTGTGTGCTATTCAGTTCTCTGTTATAACTTATGATATGGAAGGGCCACTTTGCACTCCACATGTTTCACATGAACTACGTGACAAAATAAAAGTCAAATGGGTTGTGAAAGCAATTGCATGTTGACCTTAAAGTTATAAAGACTGAAATTGGTCCATAAATGTGACAATTAGCCCCACCCAACCGTTACTGTCCAAATTTAAAACGAGAACTGGAGTCATATTTATGGAAGCCCATTTCTGCCACATAAGAAAAAAAATCATGCTTTGATAAGACACAATTATGGCATAAATTAATGATAAAAGAAATCAAAATTACCAGATTAAAAAAAGTCAAGAGTTATGACATACCAAGTCATAATTATAAAATAAAAAGTCAAAATTGACCTATAAAGTTATAAAATAAAAATTCATAATGAGATGAAAAAAGTCAACATTAAAGTTGAAATTATGGGACAAGTCATAATTATAATATAAACTTTAAAAAATCACTTTTAATGTCATTATGGACTTTTATCTCATAAATTCTGACTTATCTCTTTATCTCATGATTAAGTTTTTTTTTTTTTTTTTTTTAAGTACATAAAAATGAGCATGGTAATATAAAGAAATGTTGTTTGCAAAATGTAATAATTGGCCTTTATATTGTTTATATATTAGTACTAAAGTCAAATGAAATGATTCAGATATTATCTCTATTATTAGATGTATAAAAATTAGATGTATCAATTTGTTCATATAGTATCCAGTATTTTTTTCAGTTTTTTTCTTTTTGAAGCACCACATTGCTCCTCTCTGTTTGAAAACCCCTGGGTTTGCAAACCTCTAGCTCTGATTGAAAACATTTTCTTTCATCACCATCATTTTTAAATGAGCTCCGTGAAAAACAGGCAAACATAAATCAACATTAAGCCTGGTTACACTGATCTGATCATCTCCTGTATGCAGTCACTGCCACACGAGTGACCCCCGAGAGGTAAACATGCATTCCCCAGGTTGTGTCTTCACACTGATGACCTGCCATTTATAATCCTGTACTAAGCTAAACCCCTGCTTCTGTTCTCTCCTCCAGCCAGCGAATGCTGAGTCTCGCGCACTTCTTCCAGACGCTTCTTCACATCATCCAAGTGGTGGTCAGTTACTTCCTCATGCTGGTGTTCATGACGTACAACGGCTACCTGTGCATCGCTGTGGCGGCGGGCGCCGGCTTTGGCTACTTCCTGTTCAGCTGGAAGAAGGCAGTAGTGGTGGATATTACAGAACACTGTCATTAACCTCTCTTGTGTATAACCTCAAAAAAAACACCCACTTCACAATCCCAACATGCACCGTAACTCTATATGTGTATATGATTTCTTTAATCTTGGTAAATATCAGCCAAGTGGCTCTATTCATTTTAAAGCTCGAATTTGATTCGTTTTTATAAATTAGCCCCATATTTCATATCCCAACAACCGTCTATCATCACCATCCTAATAATAGCATAAGTGTGCACAGCCTATCAGTCTACCTCCATAGTACTGACGGGCACAACTGACATTATTTGTAACATCTCACGGATTCTTATGTTTATGAAGGTGCCTCTGGGTGCGAAAGAGCCTTACTAAACCCTTTGCCTTAAATGAGGGAACACACACACATACACCCAAGAGGGTGAGCGTTGACTCTAAAAGCCAAACTGGATCTGGTGGACCCAATATACAAGCACTAGTGCTGGGAGGGTGATTTTTTTTATTTTGAGGTTATGGTCAAGTGTTTCAAATCGCTGAAACCACCGTTAATAATCAGTGACCATTGTTTAGACATAAACACTGGACTGAATGATGTTTGCACAAGAAAGAGAGGTTTTGGGACTCTTGAGTTTGAAGTCGAACTTTGCTCCCTTTGGAGTGCTTTTAAGTAAATACGGGGAGATTAGTGGAAAGTAAATTATATCTGATGCCAGTGTCACCGATTTCATTTTATAATTTATATTTGTAACACTCAATTGTACTTATCAATGTTTTCTGGCAATCTTTATGTGGATCCTTTTACGTTATGACATTTTTAAATGAAAAATTGTGGCACATTTGTGATGTTGAGCAAATCATGAGCTGTTAAAAAACATTAAGGTCATCGCTCTGATAGTTACTGGGTCTTGGAATGTGAATTTTATGTGGAAATTGATGATAGTTATTCTCTTAACTGAAAGGAGTGTGCCTTTTACATACAAGACCCAATAAAAGTGCCCAAAAAGTGTCTCAATTGCTCGTAAACACAAGGCTTTCTAACGGAGAAAATCGCAAAACCACATATATTTTCAACCAGTAAGCATGTGGGTTTTAGAAGAAAGCCTGTTTAAAAGTTTTTTTTTGTTCCTTTATAAAAAAAATCCTGTAATTTTCTCTTCTTTTTTTTTTAAAGCAGAAAAACTATTCTAAAAGAAAATATTCACGTCATGTTTTTGTAGAATTGTAGATCTGAGGTTCTGTTCTCCATCACAGGGGTTACTCAAAACTCAGATTTTGTTTCAAAAACAAAGTTCGCATTGTCTTGAGTGGGGAAAAACTACAATTGTAGACTGAACCTCATTTCCAGTGCTGTGGCAGTGTTAAGATTTCTTAAGTCTGTTTACAGTTCAGTAAAGTCTGTAGAGTAATGTACTGTAATCATAAAGAAAATGATGAATAAATATTGTATGATTTCAAAGATCTTCTTCTTGACCACCTCATTTATAAACTAACCCGTTTTGATGATCGGCTCACCTATGAAATGTTTCTCCTCGTCTTGTTCTTGTTGTATTTTCAGTAAAGCGAAAAGACACAATTTTCCACATCCAACGGACAAGACTGTATTTACTCAAGTAGAAAAATAGTCCTTTGTAATCAGTTATCACAAACACACAGTTAACCAAACCCAGAATGCTTTCAGTCTATTTCAGGTCAGGCATTATCAAATCATAATACATGTATGTGTGTGATGCAGATTGTCAAGACCTTGCAAATGGTCAAAACTGAAGGTTCCCAAAAAGTGACGGTAACGTGTTCGGCTTTGGGTGGGGTTTGTAACCGATTCGCTCGTGGATCATCTGCTCCCTGGTCTTCCCGTCCGTGCCGCCACCTGATGCGCCGCTCATCTCACTGGATGTGGTGACACCAACTACGTCCACCTCATCCCTCTGTTTCTTTCGACTCTGGACAGACATGGGTAAGAAACGTGGAGATTAAAACAAGATCAATCTTTACTTACACAAAACTATCTTTTAAGTGTATGTTGTAGATCTTAGCACACACATTTGCTTAAATATGCTATAGACAAATTGTCTTTTCCTGCTCAAACCAGATGCTATTTCAGAGTTTCGCATATGGCATTTTTTACACTGTACCATTACTGTTAGCTACTTCTAACCGGTTTAGGTGTTTGGCCTGCTTGACCATGCTGGCAGAACCTCAATGTACGCAAGATGGAAACTGGATGCCATTGTATAATTTGACAGGTATTTCGCTACCCATGAGTCTCAGTACCAGAAGGAATTGTAGGTGAGGTAGTGAATGTACAGTGCTCTCTTCCACCTTCAATAACCTTGAGCAAGGCACCAAATCACCAATTGCTCCCCGGGGCACCGCAGAAAAAATGGCTGCCCACTACTGCGGGTGTGTGTTCACGTGTGTATTTGGATGGGTTAAAGGGGTCATATGATGCTGCTAAAAAGAACATTATTTTGTGTTTTTGGTGTAATGAAATGTGTTTGCGGTTTAAGGTTAAAAAATATATATTTTCCACATACTGTACATTATTGTTTCTCCTCTATGCCCCGCCTTTCTGAAACATTTTGATTTTTACAAAACTCATCGGTCTGAAAAGAGAGGTGTGCTGTGATTGGCCAGCTATCCAGTGTGTTGTGATTGGCTGAATACCTCAAGCGTGTGACGGAAATGTTACGCCCCTTACCATACTGTGATGCCCTGTCCGGCCGGAGAGACGAGACATAAACATTAAAACCCATTATAAACGAGGCATTTGTTGCATCCAGTGGGGACATAATTACGGATTATAATGACTTATACTGTCTTTCTACACGTTGAATCGCATACTGCTGAAATTAGTCGTTTTTGGCTGCTCATGTGATCACAACAAACACAATTGAAATACTATGTCCTATGCAGAATCCATCTTTTTCCTAACTAACCTACTGCATTTTAAATCATGAGAGGCACTTCTGGTTTGAGGAAGTTCCACTTAAAAATACTGAAAGAAATCATTTCAAATCTCAGTTTCTCTACAAATAATCCTTATCCGTGGACTGGAACAGTGCTGATCAGTCATCAGAAAATAGGGTCAAACAAGAAATCAAGGAAGTAGAGGGTAAAGAACAGAAATATAGCTAAATAAAAGAGAAATGCAAAAATGTTTATTTACCATAATTATCCAAAATCATGCGTGACCGTACGGCTGACATGTCTGTAAAGGACAACATATAGCATATATATTGCCATACGGCTGTATATATTATACAGATGCTTAAATATATATATCTTTTTATCTGTGTGGACCCTGAAGGTTATGAAATGTATCCAAGATACTAATAA